GGGTAAACGGGTAACGGTAACGGTAACCGGGTAACCGGAACGGGTAACGGTAAAAAGTAAAAGTAAAGTAATAGTCTCTCTTTACTTAGTAGTTACTTCTCTCTCTCTCTCTCTCTCTCTCTCTCTCTCTCTCTCTCTCTCTCTTTTTTAAGTGGTGGATGTGGTGAGGGAGCAGAAAGAGACATAACTGTCTATAAACACTGCAGGAGATGGATTCTGTTACAATCCACAAGACAGAATCACAACCATTGGTGGAAGTCCCAGGAAAGCAGATTTTGCCTTAAATTGAAGAGCAATTTTCTGATAATTAGAGCAGTTCCACAATGGAATGGGCTGCTTTTCAAAAATGGTTTCAAAACCCCTTAACACTGCAAGTGTGCCAAGGGAACGACGGCCTCCTTGCTGTCTTGTACTTTTTCTAACGTTCCATCTCCATACGCCTTTACTTTCCTTTTCCTTCATCCCATCCTCTCTTCCTTGTAGGGCACTTATAACTACTTTGTCCCCAAGCACTTTTCTTCTCATGTCTCCCTCTTCCGTTTCCAAACCCCTTTTCTCTTGGCTCTCCCTGCCCCTACTCCCAGCACACATTTAGTCTGATGTTGGAACTGCCTCCCTGAGTTGTAGGTGGCCCGTGGCTCAGACTGTCACTGAGATCTGGGCCACGATTGCCCTGCACACTGGCAGAGAAGGAAAGGAAAGCCAATAGATCTCTGAGAAGGCAGAGGTACTGCTGTGACTCTCCCACCAGGGCAGAGGGATCCAGCAGAGTCTCTGGTTACGGAGAAGCCTGCCTGTCACTGAGTGCTCACAGAAGACGGAGAGCTCAGAGCTGAGCTCCATTCCCCCAAGGATGCTTTCCATAAGCTGAACTCGTTCTGACTCGTTCTGAACCCTCTTCTGGCTCCCCGCAGGCATTGCCCTTAGCTTTGAGCTATGCAGCCATCTTGCCATACTTACAACTCCAAGCAGAGGATGGAGACAACTGGATACCTATGTGAACTTGCAACCTGGCATGTGGATATGCAGATACATCTGACAGCAGTGACATGGCGGCCTCATCTAGAACTTTCAATTCTCCTTTTCCTTCTCTGTCCTTTTATACCTTCTGGGTCCCCTGTCTTTATCCTTGCTTCATCTTCTCCCCACCCCGCCATTTCCCCCTACCCTGCTTCTTTCTTGCCTCTTGAGACTTGAGATAGTTTCCCTCCCATTCTAGCTGCCCAAGGGGAATGTGCCAGGAGATGGCAAGCAAGGCAGTCTCCTTCCCCTCCCCCAAGGGCCCCACTACACTTCATACCATGAGCTGGGGACTGCTGGACATTAGGGCTCTTGGGTACAGGCAGGCCACCTGGCGTGGCAGTGATGATGGCTTGCTGATGCGGTGATGGACCAGACCGAGTCTCAGGCCCACTCTTCTCAGCGGTTCCCACTTCCTTCCAGTCATCAAGGGTGCACTGCTGGGGCTGTTAGAGGACAGGACAGAGATGACCATCTCGTTAATTGCCTTGACATTCCTGGACCCATCCTCTGTTTCTGTGGAGCTTGGGTAGAAGGCCAGGGCGTTAAGATTCAGCCAGCCCCAAATTCGGGAGCTGGAATATCCTTTTCTTTCCTGGAATACCCAGAGAGGACGTCAATGCTCAGCTCACGGAGAAACACATCCAAATGGGGGCTGTGGGGCTCCCTGGGCTGTGTCCTCCCCCTTTGTTCCTGGGGCCTTGGAGTTGGCTTACTCACCACTGGCGAGGCAGGTTGGAGTTGTAAGATCACAGCCGAGGCGTGCTGGAACCTGCGTTGTGGGGTGTGGGACAGGCCCTCAGGATATCCATTGTGAGGCCCAGTGTCTGGCGTCAGAGGGTGGCACTGCTGAGTGCTGCCAGGCTTGTGCAGGTTACCACTGGGGCACTGGAGAGGCAGAGTGGATGAGACCGGGCCTAGCGGCATGGCATGGGCCTCGGGGCTAGGCTGCAGGGCCAGGCTCGGAGGGACTGAGGTGAGCTGGGGGTGGGACTGGGCTTGGAGCCCTGGCCGTGATGGCTGGGGCGGCGGCTGCTGCTGTGATGGTTGCTGTTGCTGCTGCTGGATCACAAACTGGGGCTGCAGGTGCTTTGAGGATGGCTGGGGGAGGAGCTGGTGTGGCTGCAGCTGAGCATAGGCTGAAGAGGGAGAGACGAGTTAGGAGGCGTGGCTTGACCTCATCTTCTGCCATGTCCCCCAACTCTGGCCCCTCCCAGGTCCACAAAAAGAAGGCTTCCCAACTCAATGTCTCTTGCTTTCATCTCTTTCGTCTTTTCTCCTAGAGCCCAGCCTGGCCGCTGTCACGGCCCAACTGTCTCTCTTCGTTTTCTTACTTTCTTCCTAGGCTGAAATATTGGGCCCTTGGCTGTCCCTCAAAGCCCAATACAAAGCTCACCTCCCCTGTGAAGCCTTCTTTGATCAGTCCAGCTGTTCAGAGAAACACTGGCTTTTGCAGTGTGCTATATTCTCTCTCTCCTCCATGCCCTTCACTCGTTTTTCCCCATGCCTCCAACAGGTGCAGCCTCCCATGGCCCAACCCAGCTCTGGAAGGCTGGTTCTTATTCAACCTTTGGGCTCTACTCAGGCTGGGCCTCCTCCCAGGAGCATGGGTTGCACACAGTGGTCCTCAGAGGCAGCCCAGGGCTGGGGTCCTGGTTCCTTCTGTTACCTAGTGTGGGACCTTGGGCTAACTGCTTAACCTCTCTAGGCCTCAGCTGCCTTGTGTGAAAATTGGAAACAAAAATAATTCCTGCCCAGAAAGTTGCAAGGATGAAAGGAGAAAAAACTGCACAAATAAAACGAGAGGAAGATGGCATAATGTGCCCAGCCCAAGGCCTGGTGCTCAGTCATGGTCAGTCATTTCTAGCTCTAATTAAAATAATTATTTCAGGCTAGGTTTAGGTTCTCAAAGTACCCTGGGCTTACCTCCACCATAACAACATGTATCGCAGTGGATTACAATTGTTCCCTAGCTGTCTTCCCTTCCAGATCATGAACCCCTCATAATCAGAAACCATCTGTTTACCCAGAACCTCGCATGATGCCTAGTATTAGATGGGGGCTAAAAAAATAATCGGCTTGTCCTGAACTGGAACTCACGTGTTGCCATTTGCTGCTTGCGCTTTCTTCTTCCATCTTAACCAGGCTGGCCCTTTGAGGTGAGGATTCTTAAGACTTTTTAGTAATTCCTCCAGTGTCCACTGCATGCCTCGCAGACAGTAGGGATTCAGGATACTCAGCTCAGAGATCAACTGTCCTCAGGCTGCTCCCTCTCTGTCTAGTGGCACCCAGGCCAGCTGAGCATGAAGACCGCTCAGCTGAATCTGTCCTGCCTAAAAGCTGTCCTCCACAGGGATTCCTGTGGCTGGAGGGCCAGCAGAGGGAGGCGGTGCCGTGCAAGGGCACAGGGGGCCATGGCTGGAAGCTCACAGACAGATTTTTGCAACCAAAGGCTCCCAGCCAATGAGGAGAATGTAAATTCTGGATCTTGAGCTAACATTTAAAAAGGATCCCGTGACACAGGGCAAAGTAAGCAGATTTCAAACAGAGTTAGGGGAGGTACCTGCTTTCTTGGATTGTTTATTTATACGCGAGTTTCCAACTAGCTCATCACAGCCCAACAAGGAGTTCCAAGCAGAATGCCAATAGGAATAGAAAGGAAGGGATGGAAACAAGAGGTGTTAAGGAATAACAAAATGCTCCCGGTGACGAGTTGTAGGCAGAGGAGGAGGGAGTATGGATGGCTCACTGCCTGGATAACAGGGAGTGATGGGAGAGAGAAAAACATGGACAGTGATGAGGTTTTGAGAGAAGCGTGTGGCATTTGAGGTGACGGCAGAAGGTCCAAATGGAAATTGCTAACGGGCATTTGGTGATTGTAAATTGCCCCTGACCCCAACCTAAGCTTTGTCTCCTAATTTCACACTGAATAGCTCAAAGCTTAACAATCAAAGACTGTTATTCAGCCAAACTTAATCACCAGGGATTTTTGAGACGACCCTTGTTAAGACACCAGAGAGGTACTGCAGACGCCACCAAGTGCCTGGCTAGGCTCCAGCAGCCAAGAAGATCTGCAGAGTGGTGGGTATCATGGCTGCAGACTTGAGTAAAACTTTTTCTCCCTTAATACAAAACAGTGAATTCCTGCCCCAGGAAGAGAGTCCTTCTAGGAGCTGCCCGTCTGAGCCGAGAGCTGGAGATGTTGCTGGTCAGAGAGGCTACGAGGGTCAGAGGCTGTCCTGCTACCAACTGGCTGTGTGGCCTGAGACAGGCCCTTTCCTTTCCCAGGGCTTCAGGGTTTTATCTGTGAGGTCAGAGGTTTGGGCTAGGAGATCACACAAGTCTCTTCCAGCTCTACAATCTGATGGGGGTGGCTAGCATAGGAAAAGGGTTTAAAATTCAGGACGTGTAAGGTGGTAAAAGGAAGGTTAGAGAAGAAGGTTCTAGACCTACAGAATGTAGTTGGGCACAAGACACATTTGTTTACCAAGAATGGGAGAGGCAACTGCTGGCCTCCTGGCCCTTAATCGCTGGGCCTCCCCTCTGTCCCACTCTCTGTCCCACCCTGGGCCACTTGTGGAAAACCCAAGGCCATTGTTTTAGAACAAATGATGCTAGGATATGCCAAGTCTGGAAACAAAGCTCATGAAATCTTAGATAACTTTGTAGATCAAAGACCCCAGGGTATTTTGCAGGGAGTGTACCCCCTTAACCTTTTGAGGTTAATTAAAAGCAAAGACCACGACTGAACTCCAGCATTATCCTGAGTCAAATTCCTTTTATTTAAAGTGTTGCAATAGCTTTCTAATTGGTCCTTCTGATTCCAGTTTCTTTTCACTATAATCCACCTTGTAGATAGATCACAAATTAATCTTCCTAGTGCTCAGATCTGATCCCTGATTAAAAACCATCAGAGACTCTCCTTTGTCTGTGGTTGTCTAAGGCCCCTGGCATTCAAGATCTTCTTACAACATCAACTAACCTTTCAATTTTCACTCTCTGATCCAAGCAATCTTTACTGTTCACTGTCTGCTATATGGAAGTCTGTGCCTTATCTCATACTGTCTAGAGGGCCATGAACCAAATCCTTATCATCCTTTTCCTGCCTCTTACCAGCAGTGGGAGGCTGGGCAAGTCTCTGGACCTCTCTGGACCTCTGTGTCACCATCTTTAAAGTGGGAGTAACAATGGTATCTGTATCTCAGTTATCTCAGTCAGCGACTCATCTCCTTTGATAGGCAGAATTTAGGATTCCTTTGTTCCCTCCAAAGTGCCTGGAATTCAGTAGATGCTCAATCAGTATTGCTGAATGAATGAATGAATGACAACACAGTGGGACTCCAGCTTGTCTCTCCCACCGAACTTCTCCTCTTCAGAGCCAGAACATGGACGAGATGGGTGTAACCCCACGGACCATCTGGTTTTATCAGCACTCTGGGTTATTGAAGACCCTCCTCCCATCCAACCTCTGCTCGCTGCCTTCCTGCACTCACCTTCCCCCACCCGACTGCTCTAGTCCTTGCCCTCCAGCATCACTTTCACTTCCCCCCGTGCCTCTTTGGCTCCGGTTTCAGGGCTTCCACTTTCTGGAATGCCCTCCTTCTGCTTCAGTGATCTCAGTAAGGCCTAAGCTCCTCTGGCCCAGGCTCAGCTCGTTTTCTCTCTTTACCTTAACCCTCAATTTTCCCTCAGAAGTCCCGAATGCCTTGATGGTTTGTTTGTTTATTCATTTGTGACTTAACATGTGCTATCTTGCGTATGTATCTCATTGATTCTTACTCCCGACCCCCATTTAATGTCTTTTGAATTGGGATTGCATATTAGAGCTGATGATGTTAAATTGGTAGTGCTTCTCTTTCTTAGAGTTAAAAAAAAATCATGGCACATCTTACAAAGTGGTGTCTTAAACTGGAATACTTTTACACTTTGTGTGTTTATTTCCTATCTATCCGACCAGACTATATGCTTTTTGAGTCGAAGATATGTCTTATGTTTCTTTTTTTTAAACTTAAAGATGCGTTTTAATTGAACTAGGTTTTAATGTTTCTTTCCCCTTCCACATGACAATCTACATGTCTGTAGATGCTTAGCAACTATCTGCCATTGATCACAGTGAGATCAATCACTTCTCCCTCTCCCACGTCCTCCCAGCTCAGCGTGGGGGGGTGAAGGTGGGTACTTCACACTGAAGCCTTGACACCAGAGGAGGCCACATTCTGCTTCCCTACAGCCAGGATGGGGCATATCAGCTTAAAAAATATTAATGCACAGAAATCTCTCTGGACCTTTCTTTATTTTCCCCTAAGGTCCAGTGGCTTCATTTCTCCCCTGTATCTACTTTGGCTGCCCCATCCTCTGCAGCTGGAAAGCTCATTGCTTCTCAGGAACAAAAGGTTGTTTCCATGGGACCTCAGCCACAGCTTTGGAAGGCCTCATCAGCCCTTTCTTTAATGGAGCAGAGGAGGGGCAGGCCTAGGGCCGTCACAGATTAGGGCCTCCCTAAAAGGAGAGACTCCAGGCAATGCTCATCTTCCCGTCCGGTGCTCTAACCTTGACAGCCTCCTTAGAATCTGAAGAGGCCAATTCACTGTTCCCCAAACAGCTAGTGGTTAGCAACAAGAGGATTAAGATCCCCCATGCAGGAGGGCTGACTGTGAGGGATTACTGGCACACCCTGCTTGCTGTATCCACTGCCAGAACTTATCAGTAATGGATCTCCATTGATCCCAAGGCTTCAGGTATGCAGGAAACAGCTCATTGTCCAGAAATGCTAGGACTCCTATTTCAAAGTACACGGGAGCTGCAAGCATCCCAACCATAGGTTGGAGATTTGCTCATACATTTATTTTTCTATGGTTGTAATAACTGACTAGTGTTTGACGTTACCCGGATTATGAGCAAGAAGAAGGTGCCCATGAGAGAGGAATGGCCTAACTTTTTATTACCTGCTACTCTTCAAGGTTTAGAGAGTTAAACGAAGAGATATTTTCAATCATTCATTCACTCAACCAACATTACTAAGCACCTACTAAATTCTATGTTTGGTGCTGGTTAAAACATGGTCCCTAGAATAGGTTACAGTTTAGTAAAAGAGACAGCTGGTAAACAGACATTCTCGACATAACTTGGTAAATGTTAT